ACAGCCCCCACCTTAGAGCCAATCCAAATCCCGCAAAGGCCAAACAAAGCAAACACAGCCCATACTAGAGCCAAACCGAGCCCAGCAAGACTAAACAAAATGCATCAGGGCTAAAACACAAGAGCCCTTAAAGCCAGGAAGAGAGCTCTAACATCTCAATAAAAGCCAAGACTCAATTTTCCACAGAAACCAACGTCCCATACTCCTGAAATGAAAACCGAGCACCAAAAAAAGCCCAAAGCCGAGTCATTTAAAGCCCAAAACCGAGCCTAACGATATCACAATCCAGACTCCCATAAAGCATTAAAGATCCAACCATTTCACCCCAAAACCGTGACTTCAAATCAAGCCAAAACCAAGTTCAACAAGAACCAGAAACCAAATCCGAATTCGACGAGAAACAAGAAGCCAAAATCGAGCTCAACGAAAACTCAAAAGCCAAAGTCAGAGCTCAACAAGATTAAAACAAGCCCAAGCATTGATATAATCGAGCCATACAACATTAAAGCTCTAGCCATTTTAAGCCCAAGGAACGACCTGCATGTCTAAACATTCTAAGCATGAAATTATTCCAACAAATATATGAACAGGGGAGATGCCTCATGAAGAGTTAAGCCAAACTCTCAAAACAAGATACAAGGCTTTCCACATTATATAAAATTTTTCATAGCCTGCATTTTAAGCTGGGGAAAGCCACAGGAAGCCCAAAACCGAGCCCCCCCAAACATGCATAAAACAGTAGAATGAACTTCCTAGCATGCATGAAAGGCCAAATAACCTCTCCAATATTTCATTCCAAACGAAAATAAGTGAAAAGCTCTATAATACTCATCCCATCATGCTTGCAAGAGGAGCTAAAATTATTTCATTGCCACGTTTCAACCCTCCTGTTCAAAGTAACAGGGATATGCTACAATTTCATCTCAAGCTAACGGGAGAAAATAAGAACACTTATATCATGTTATGCTTGCACCGTCCTAAGCAAGTAATCAAATCGAACTCCTAAAACATGCTCATACTTCTATCCTTCACATGCTTCTAGAGTGAATGCTTCGAAAAAATATGAAAATAAAGAGAACTAGCATGTTGTACTATCCACCAGAACCATGCACAAGGCTCGGCAGAGGGAAAATCGAAAGGCAACGAGGCACTGAGAAGAAAAGGGGGAAAGGAGAGTACCTCAAGAATGCTAAAGTAAAGCCCTACAACACAAGAGTTCACCCCAAAGAAGTGCTCTCACAGAAATTTCCTCTCCAATCTCCTCACAGCCGAGAATTCCTATTCTCCTTTCTTGCCAACCTTTTCAACAACCCCAAAAAAAATACAAAGAAACTATCCTTATAGGCAGAGAATAAAGGAGAAGAGAAAGAAGACCACCCCCAACAGTCCACGACACTCGAATCGGGTCAAAAAGAAAAGGGACGCTTCCTGCCCACAGAAGGCGAGGCCAACGAAGTCTCTCGGACCGAGCGGCGAGACTAATGGCAACGAGGGAAGCATCGGGAAGAGGAGAAGAAATGTCATTCCAGTGTACCAGGGAACCAGCTTCCCAGAGTCAAACTACCAAGAAAAGGAAAACCACAGCACAGAGCGGCTGGCGCGGTTTCGGGAAGGAAGGCCGCGGGCAGAGAGTGTCGGGCAAAGACGAATAAGAAGTCAACTTTCAAGACAGGAAAACATCAGCGCGCTGAAATCCAAAACGAACAAGAACAACAGAGTATTATTAAGTAGATTTTAGAATTATAAAGGTGCAAGCATTTTTTTTTTAATTTAAATTGGTGAAATTTAGAACGAAAGTGAGGAACGTATAAGTGCAAATTCAAATTTTCATCTCATTAAGATTAATTTTATTACAAAATTTTGGGACCCAGTCATATATAAAATATTAAAAATTCGTATATATTAAATAAAACCCGATTTACTCGCGCGCGGCGACGTAACAAAATGGGTGTCCTCCTTGGGCAAAATCGACGTTCCGGACGCGCCGGTGCAGTCCGTTTTGTCATCCGGGGTCACTCGGACGACTTCGTCGACAATCTGGTCAAAAACGCGTCGAAATTCAAATTTCACAAAATTTTGACTCACGATCGATCGCTTCAAAAGATTTACTCGAGCATTTGACAGGTAACAGTGCAAACGATGTGAATAGTGGCGATCGGACGCATCGACTCTCTGAATTGCAAAGTTTGTGCGCCCGGGAGTGCGAATTGTGCAGAAGGTCACCATAAGGCTCAAAAGGTCCTATAAGAATCCCTTTTGGGTTCCTCATGTTGGTTTTATCCTTCTAAGTGTTAGAAGTCGATACCACACACGCGAAACCACAAAAGAGTACAGAAGCGGGTTGAATTTCGAAGGGAGGTCCCTAAGGCTAGATTCTAAACCCTAAGAGGAAAACTAAACCTCACTAAAAATGAGGTCAATAAAGGGTAGAGAAGTTGAGCAAAAAAATGAAGATGTTAAAGAAAGATGTATGGCAGAAGGAAAAGAATTGAGAAATGAATATGTTAAAGAGATACTGAGAATGCCAACACTCCATAGAAAATAATGAAAAGAGAATTCATAGATAAGGGCTACGAAAATTAGTGTTCGGGCTCTCATGAGAGAGTATTCGATGTTACTCAAGATCAGCACTAGGCCTGATAGATTGCACGAGAGACACTAATCAAAGATTCCACTCTCATTATATAGCTGTTGTAAGATTTTATTCAAAGTTTTTCATAGTTGCAAGCTCATATGGTTTATAATACCTCCAATAACAAGAGAGAATTTTCAATTAAGACCAGTTAAGGTGATAACTTAGTGTATTGTATGATAATTTACTTTAAATTGAAAATTTTATCATTAGCTTAAAGTAGATGGTGGGAGATATGATGATGAACCCAATCAAGGTTCCATGATTTTATCATCTTGGGTTGACATAAACCCTAATCCGCTTAATCATGAGAGAAAGTTGACCCAACACATCCGAAGAATCCTTGTCAACAATCATTCATTGCACGATTCAAAAGTGCATTATAATTGGAGGTATTTGTTTGTCTAGAGGAACAAATTTAGTGAACATAATTAAAAGAGAGTTTTGTGCACTATCAAATGTCTTTTATAATTCACAACTCAAAAGGCTAAACCAACCCATTAGAAAACAAACAATCTTTGATCGTGACCATAAAATAATAGTGACATTTTTGTAATGAATCACCAAGTCAAAGAATACTAGTTGTAACTGTTACTTTTGTGATGTCATTTTATGGCCAAAAGAATGTTTTTCCTTACTGCAATGAGATTATTTGAGATTGATTACAGATATACAATTCCTATGACAACTGTATTTTGTGAGCTTAAGTTAACCTTAAATCTAGCATCACAACAAATTATTATGAAAAATGATTTTTTTTTTTACATTTAAGCTTTAAATGGTGAAATTTCACTTGAACTTGAGTTTTATTAGAATTTTATTGAACTTTTACAATTTTAATGACTTAAGCTAAAAATAATTTTCATTAAAATGTAGGCAGTTGATAATAAATCCCCTTCAACAAAAATATTTGCCAACCCGTTATTATTGAAGTGAAGTTTGTTTAAACCATTTAGGATTGCAATCTAAATTTTTTATTTTAAAAATTAACCGCTTTGACTATCATGTGAGATGAACATAGCAATCATATGGGTATTAATTATTTCTATTGTTCGTAATTATAATTTGATTGAAGTTTGTTATTTCAATATTATGAAGGCATCAGATCAAATCTAATCTTTATAAGGAATATCAAACTAACTTCATAAAATTTAGTCTTATCAACTACAACTCCTATTAGGAGCATGAGGGACTTATAACCTTATTCTATATGGTGGCTCACTTGAGAGTGTAAGTGCAACATATTGAATCAAAATTTTGAAAAACAATATTTTATCAAATTTAAAATAATTGCACGATTCTCAATACAAGGTAAATTGGCACAGCATTCTAAAACATTAGGTTTGAACGCTTAGGCCACTCTTTGGAACATATGTGTACTTTATATTTGATGACAAGTATATTGTTTGGTACATATGCATATGTCTAGATTTGTACGAGAGGTCGATGAACATAGATAATATAATTTATGATATAAATTAAAATAATTTTAATATAAAATTATTATTATTATTGAAAAAATCAAATTTTAAAATTCCTTACATGTCTAAATTTGCACATCAAAGAGAGAGATAATGGTCAAATTAACAGTGTGAAAGCACAACTTTTATAAAAATGAAGAAATTGACTGAGAGATTAAATAAGAGAGCGACGCAAAAGAAATTACAAGCCAACTTCCACTATTATCAAGTGCCACTGAACTGATCCAGGTAGATTCCTTCAACTTGAAGCTCTTCTGAGGATCTATAACATGAGCACATCTTCCACTTCTGCAGTCTACATACAAGTATTTATGGATGCATTAGAAGACTTCAAACAAAAGGCATGTAACTAGGTGGTTTATATAACCATGACTACTTATTTCAAGACAAGGAGTCAATAGATAGAAAAAGTCAACCGTTCAATGAATAAAATAAAAAAAGGGAGAAAAGCATCAAAATAGTCCTTTGACTCTATGCAGAAGGTCATTTTAGTCCCAAAATCTAAAAAAGTGTCAAATTAGTACCCACATTCTTTAAATAGGGGCTGAAATATTCCCCACAAAAGACTATTTTAGCCCGTATTAAAAATTTGAGGACTAAATTAGCACTTTATAGACTCCGAAACTATAATGACCCATGGAACAAGTCAAGAGACTATTTTGACACTTTACTAAAAAAAGAAGCATATCTTTAAAATAATTGAAAGAAAGTAAGGCACGAGCAAAATCGCTTAAAGGCTGTTGTTTTGGCAATGCAAGTTAATTAAGAAGTCGTGCAACTAACGGTACATATCAATAGATCTTGTTATAATAACATCCCCAAAAAACAATTTATCATTTTGACTCATATATCCAATATAATGAAGACCATGTTGACCTCATTTTTGGTGAGGTCTCTTCTTTTTCTTAAAGCCTAGGATCTAGCCTTAGGGTTTCCTACCGACTCTCTTAGAGGACTAGACCGATGCCAATTCGAAATTCGACCCACTTCTTGACTCCTCGCAGTTTCATATGGCTGGTTCTAAATCCTCAACGCTAGTTGAGTCGATTAAAACCAGCTTGACGAAGCTCGAGTCGAATACCCATAGGATCTAAAGCCTTAGTAAACCCTTCGTGTCGTCCGCGCACACTCACGATACAGAATCACAATTCACGCACTCGATGCACATATTTATCGAAATTCACCTCATATGCGCCTGTAAAAGGTTTCGTTATTGATCAAACTTGAATCAATTACTAGAACGATCAATCACGAGAGAGAATTTAACAAAATTTTAGTGACGCGTTTTCGATCCGACCGTCGACGAAGTCGTCCGGATAACCCCTGACCATGAAACAAATCGCCGACGCGCGTCCGAAACGTCGAATTTAGCTAGGAAAGACACTTTCTTGATATGATCGAGACGAGGTCGAATCGGAGAAATTTGCATATCTTATATTATATAGTTAATATTTATGTTAATATATACGATAGGGAGGGGCTAAGGGTTTTAATCTTCCCTAAATCCCTAATATGCTTCCTCTACCTTCGGTTCCATCCCCTTCCCCGCGCCTACCGAATCGAACCCTAGCTTGCGGCTGCTTTTGGTTCCTCCTCTTCATGTGACGAGGAGTTGACTTCGTCTCTCTCGGCATCCTCTGCCCAAGTTGCAGCTTCCCGAAACACCTTTAGTTTCGTCTCGCTGAGCGGGAACCCATTCGGGGTAGTTAACTCTATGTGTTTGTTCCCTGGGTCACGAATGTAGTAATCCTCCTCCTCGATCGCTCCTCTCTTTGTGGCCTTGGTTGTGGTGTGGTCTTTTTTCTGCTGGGGGTTGCTTCACCCAAGTCAGTCCTTGTTGACCTCATTTTGAGGTCATTACTCTTTTTCTTAGGATCCTAGAATCTAGCTCTAGGGATTCCTATTGACTATCTTAGAAAACTAGTATTGGAATCCATCCCCTTAGAAATTTCAGCTACCTCTTATTTCTCTTGTGATGTCCCACATTGATTATCTCAAAATCAACGTCATATGGTCGAGTGGTTAAGGACTATCATGTGAAGACTAAGGGAGAAGTTCCCAATAGGATCTAAAGCACTAGAAAAACCTCTTCAGGACTTTATCATCAAACACACACACACACACAAAATACAAAAAATTCACTAAATTACACAAGATGGGATTAAAATTGAACTTAAAGAATGGGTGAAAATGCAAACTTCCCCAGACGACCTCCGACGACAAAATAGACTGCGCCAACGCGTCTGGGACATCAATTTTAGCAAGAAAAGACACTCATATTGCTATAATTTTTTACACTAGCAAATTGCACGTATCGACACAAGCAAATTGCACGCAAATCGATGAATTCGTTAAAACAGTCTCCGACGACGAAACGGACCGTGCCAACGCGTTCGAAACATCAGAATTACCTAAAAAGGATATCTACTTTGCTATGTTGTGACATGAATAAAAGGTACGAATAAAATTTTATTTTTGTAATATTAAATATTTTATAATTATATTACTAATTATAATAATATTTATAATTATAAACCCTATTTATCCCTTTACCCGCATACTTAGCCCCCATTTGATCCCACGGCTCGACCAACCGCCTTGGCCCAGCCGCTTGGCTCGCCCCCTCTCGTGCGAACCCGAGATCTCGCGAGCGATCCACGCTGCGATCTCCCTCTCTCTCGACTCTTCTCCTTTCTCACGTGGCCGCTCTACCTCTCGACGCTCCAATCGTGGGAGCTCGGCTGGTCGACCCTTCTTCTTCTCGAGGCTCATTCACTCCCGTTATTTGATTTGACCACCAATGAGGCTGGTAGGTGGCTGTCCCCCTCTGATCTCTGCCTACAAAAAAGTTTACTAGGGTATTGTTTTGGGTTGTTGAAAATTTTGAGAGGAAAAGGAAGGCTGAGATGGTTTTGCTAGTTGCTGTTTAAGGCTCTTAGGGGAAGCCTCTACCGAAATTCCTTCTCGGCTAGGTTCTTGTGTGCTGAAGTGTTCGTTGGTTGCTGTTTTTCGAAGCTTTAGGAGGAAGGTTTCTGTAGGAAGTGTGTTCTTGAATCTGTTTTATAGTTTTGTTTTGAGTCTACGTTAAGAGGTATTTCTCTTCTTTCCTCTAATCTACACTATTTTGGATGGCATCTAAAAGAATTTGTTCTCTTCTAAAGCATGTAGAAGCAAGATTCGGGCTTGTTTTGAAATTTAAGCATGAATATTCCCTGAAAACATTAAAATGGGGATGTTAGAATTAGTTTCAATACTGGATAATATGTTGACATTAGGAATTCGTTTATGCTTATTCGTTCCCTATTACTTGTTACTATTTGGAACATGTACTAGATGCAATACTTTGAAATATAAGGTTTCAAGAGACTTAATTTTGATAGCCCTGTTTTGACCCATTTGTTGGGTTCGGTTTTGATCTTTTTGGAATGGATTCATGCTGGAAACTGTCTTGACCCATCTGCTGCTGTCTTGGGATTCATGCTGGAAACTGTCTTGACCCATCTGCTGGGATTCGGTTTTAGTTCTTTTAGAATGAATAAATGCATGAAATTATTCTCTATTTTCCCACTTGGTTGGGTTCGGTTTTGATCTTTTTAGAATGGATTCATGCTGGAAACTGTCTTGACCCATCTGCTGGGACTCAGTTTTGGTTCTTTTGAAATAAATAAATGTCGGAAGCTTTTTTCTATTCTACCATTTAGTTGGGTCCGATTCTGACTCTTTTGGAATTGAATTATAGCTGGAGGTATTATTTTTGTTCTTGCTCCTCTGCTAGGCTCACGTTTACCTGTTACAGTTAGTTTGTTTTGCCTTTTTGTTGAGCTCAGATGTGCCTGTTTTAGATCCTTGTCTTGCCCTTCTTGTTGGGCTCGGTTTACCCCTATGTCGGGCTCGGTTTGCCCGTGTATTGAACTCGATTTGCCCCTTTGGTGGGCTCGGTTTGGCTCCTTTTGGGATTGTGTTTTGGCTGGAATTCCTTTCTGTTTCAGCCCCTTTGGTGGCCTCGATTTAGCCCCATGTTGGGCTCAGTTTGGTTGGAAGCTCTTCATATAACGTTCCTCCTGAGATTTTTATTGGTAATCAAGTTTGTCATCCCAAAATTCATGATTTCAATATCTACTTCTATATTGGGATGTTTGAAATAAGCGGATCAATTCATTACTATGTCTTACTTGATGAAAATGGCTTCGGTCTGGATGGTCTATGGTAGCTTGTCCTTTCACTCTCTTATGTGTATTAAAATGGCATAATAATAATGTTATGGTGGGTTGTCCTTTTGCCGTCCCTACCCATGAGCTTAAATGGTGGTGGTCTCCTTCCTGCTGCCTTGGCCGTGAGCCTTACCTTGTGTTTACTGCCCATGTGGTCTTCCTCTTGCTGCCCTTACTCGTGGGCTTATTCTGTGGTGGCTTTCTCCTTCTTAGCCCTACCCATGAGCTTAAATGGTGGTGGTCTCCTTCTTGTTGCCTTGGCCGTCAGTCTTACCTTGTGTTTACTGCACCTATGGTCTTCCTCTTGCTGCCCTTACCCGTGGGCTTATTCTGTGGTGGCTTTCTCTTTCTTGGCCCTATCCGTGAGCTTAAATGTGTGGTGGTCATCCTCTTGCTGCCTCTACCCATGAGCCTTACCTTATGATCTCTTCGTGAGATAAGTTGCGTTGGTGTCTGTCCGTCTCTATTGCCCCTGGTTATGAGCATTTATATGATTTTATCTAGATAATTTCATGTTTATATGATATGAAAAGTTTTTTTTAATGAAGGTTGGAATTAAATGATTTTGATTTTGGCATGATTTTCTGGAAGGCTAGAAGGTTGCCCCCCCCTATGGATTATTCTCCTTTATTTTGTGAAATATGAAAGGCTTCTATAGCTTTATTTTGGAAAATCATAAAGTTGATATGAAACAGATTCATAAAGAGTTTGAAAGCTTATAAAATTGTCATTTGGAAAAGTGTTTGGAGATTCAACATTAAAATTTGGATAACATAAATGCCACATTTCGGTTCAGGCTGGGGTGTGTAAGTACATATAGGTGTTGGAGTCGTGGATACAATTGTTACATTAGTTTTGGACCCATTTCGACCTGTTTGAAACAAAATTTGTAAGAGATACCTTTCTTGGGTTGATCCATTTATAAAATTTGAGAAAATGATATATTTCTTGGATTGATTCAAGAATCTTGGGCTCTCTTTTTGTCACAATTTTGAGGTTTGTTCCACTCTTTATCCTTTTAATCTTTTTGGTGAATTAGTTCCTCATCTCTCTCATCCCCATTTTCATTCTTTTTTTTTCCTTG